ACTTTTGGGGGATAAAAAAGCAATGGGTTATCAAGCCACACAAAGACATGGATAAATCTTAAATGCACACTGCTAAGTGAAAGAAACCAGTGTAAAAAAGGTTGTATGATTCCCACTTAAATAAATAAAAATACGAGTAAATAAGTAAATGAGAGAGAAACGACAAATTCTTTGAGCAGAAAAATCCAAATAGTTTATCTACTCTGTTCTCAAAGACACACACACACACACACACACACACACACACACACACACACACGGAGTTGATTCTGATTCATAGTGACCTTGTAGGACTGCCCTGTTGGTTCCCAAGACTAAAACTCTTTATGGGAGTAGAAAGTCTCATCTGTCTCTCATAGAGTGGTTGGTGGTTTTGAACTGCTGACTTTGAGGTTAACAGCCTAATCAGTAACACACTATGCTACCAGGGTTAAGGAGATGAAGCACAAATCCCCACTAATTAAACCTGGGCTGCACACAGTAATTCCCTTCTGAAAAGGGCAGGAGTTTACCATGGAAATCCCTGTAAAACACGCTCTCAATGAGGGGAGCATGCTACGTGGAACAGTACTTGAGAAACTTCATAGAGAACCAGAGCAAGTACTAAACACACTACTCCAATTCAAGCTGAGAGGGTCTGGCTCTGTTCTATGCCTTACACCAGTACTATATAGAGTTCCATTATAAATTACATCCTACTCAGAGGTGAAATAATATCTATTTTTAATAATGAATGGGTCAATTATCAAATTTCAGTAACAAAAACACTATTCATGGAATTCCCTGATTCCTATCCATCTGAATTCATTATAAAATGGTAAGTGGCTATTGTATCAAGTGCTTCTCCAGGATGCTGAAGACATTCTCATTTGCTGTACAATTATATGATGGGCACTACTCCGAGAAACTTCCCGAGGTGCTCAGTCTCAGACCTAAGCAAGCATCCCGGGTCCCTCAGATTTACTGCTAAATAAAAATTCCGGACATGTACACTCCAAACTTCAACTTGTACACAACACATGAACAACAACAAAAGCTCCATCCTAGCAAAAGATGATAGAATCTATGGTACTTTCTAGAGAGCTATGCGTTCACGGTGTTTCAGAATTCTTGAACTCCAGAAAATACTGTGAAGAATATGTCATCCCTCCTTTCTTGGAGCAGTAACCCCACAAGGATAAAGGTGTGACCCGGACTTAAAGGGGTTAAGGTTTTGGAGAAGGAAAACCCTACTCTGACAGAAAACTATTAGTTTTCATGAATTTATCATTTCACGTCATGTCTTTTCTCATTGTTCTGAGAGAAAACTACTTAACTAAGGCAGTCTACGATGACATCTTGTGCAACAATTAGCAAAGTAACTGAACCTCATAAACGCACCAAAAGGAGAGCCCTCGTTTGTTTGCTCTCGTCCGACTGTGGGACCTCTTGTTGCCATGCCATCTACCTTGTAGCTCTTGAGTATCTATGACAATTAACATGCCCAAACCTGCTTCAGACGTAATAGTAACATGGACATCGTTATAACCTCAGCTTATTTTAAATCATCTCATATGACAGCAAGGAGCGCTACAGATTTTATCACTCTTCTCTCTTAACTGCCCCTCGACATTCTTCTCTCGCTCCCAGAATACTGCCAATTCCTATCCTAAGTCACAGGAGAAGGTGGCAACCTTTCCACAGAAAAGACAGCAGAGACTTGCTATTTCCTGCTCCAGCCGAGTTACCGTGTCATTTACCATGCTACAGTTTCCCAGGAAATACTAAATGCTATGCTTAATTGAAGCTAAAAATGGTATTTAAAGATAATGTCTAGGAAAGGTTTACATTTTTTTTAGACAACTAAGATTAGAAGATAATTTTGGTATGCAAAAGACATTACGCACCAAATAAAGCACTAAGTTAACACGAAACGCCTCCAGCAGGGATAACATTACTCAAAACTGTTTCTTTGCGGTCTTTTTCCAGCATCTTCCGGTCCTCCTTAAAGTACTGTTCGACATGGCCTCCGAGACTGCTGGAGCACCGACAGGAGGTGGAGTGGACAACAACAGGCAGACTGCACTCCAGAGCCTTCGTTTTTAAACAACGAGTCAGGAAAGAGAAACAACTGGTTCTAAGTCAACCAGAGAAACCAGTGACAGAAGTGTTGACACGGCTTGCCACGGTTCTCACCCACTGCTATTGAGCTGAGCCCAGCTCATACCAACTCTATACAGGCGTTCCGAAGCTGTAAATCTTGACAGCAGCAGGCAGCCTCATCTTTCTCCTACAGACTGGCTGGTGGGCTTGACCTCTGACCTTGTGGTTAACAGTCCAATGGCTACCCTTCAGCCCACTGGGACTCCTAATTTAGTGAGTCCACAAGAAAAGAAATGTGCTACTCTGATCGTATTTGCTGGCCTTTGATTTCAAATCATTTCCGATGGTAGGTGGAGTATTAATAACACACAAACAAGTTCTCTACTCTCTACTACAACTCTTCACAGGTTAAAATAGTGAGAGGAATAGATAGTCTCCAAACCTAATCCACTACTGTTCAAACTAACCTCCCCATTAATGACAAATATAGATCATAAAGTTGCAAAATTACCTTCCTGTTTCCACAAAGAAGGCTCCTAAACATTCCAATTTCTCTTAAACCGGTTGAAACGCCGTTTCTCCATACACTCCTCTCCAAAAACTGGTTTCACTTGCTTGCACAGTGTTTTTCTGTTCAGCAAGTTAATTAATTCTTGCATTCCCATACATGATAGCACAAGAGAGTTTAAATATAATTTTTGAAAAGATGAAATACAAGCAAGCCAAGATGACTCGCAGTTCGGCTACTCATTACAAACAAAGCTTTCCATGAATATTACCAGTAAGTTGCTGGCTTTGTGCTCAGAGCATCTACATTTCAAGAGTTACAAAAGGACAGTATTCAGAGGAGACCAGCTATGAATTTAACACATAATCATGTTGGATTTGTGCCAGCATCTGTTCAACCGGAAAATGGGATATTGTTTTATTTTACAGAAATTTAAATTTGAGATTATATATTTTTAATCTTGGGAACAACTTATTAATACTTTTTCTAATTATCTGGTTTTACTACCTCTTTTCTTTAAAAATGTGGTATTCATATAAGTCCAAAACCTGATTTAGAGTGGTCTCCCAAATTATAAGCACTTATTTAAAAAATGTTCTTCCCCTAATATAAATTCTATAGCACATTGCCTGATGTTCTGTTTGCTTGCTTGTTTTTGTTTGTGTGTGTGTTTGTTTGTTTTTAACTAGGTGTATTGGCATACACTTCCCATATCATACAATTTAATCATTCAATCGTATGAAGAATTTTATAATTATCACCACCATCAATTTTAGAACATGTTCTTCTCGTAGTCATGTAAACTGCTCATGGGTGATACCCTTACTCCCTTCTTCCTGTAGCCTTACCTCTCATCTCCAAGAATATACTTTATTTGATCATTTTACCCCTTGAGTGGGGCCTGCTCCTGTAAAGATTTCAGCCTCGGAAACTCACTGGGGCAATTTGACTCCCATAGGCGGCCACAAACTACGGCCTGCAGGCCACATTCGGCCCGCTGAGGACTTTTACCCGGCCTGCTGGGTGTTTTTGCCCAGTTTGGTTTTTTACTTCAAAATAAGATATGTGCAGTTTGCATAGGAATTTGTTCATAGTTTTTTTTAAAACTATAGTCCGGCCCTCCAATGGGTCCGAGGGACAGTGAACTAGCCCCCTGTTTAAAAAGTTTGAGGACCCCTGGAGAGGGTGACTGGGTCACATGCCACTGGAGGGCACACGGCAACAGTTCTAATACGATCAAGAAGTGAATCCTTTGCCATTCCTCTCAGTGTCCATCACGCTTTGCAAGCTTTTATAGGCAAACCATCCACATCCAGAGAGGTCCGTATTCTGATTCCACCATCTGTGTTCACAAAAAGGCAGCTAGCAGAGAAGTACAGTAAGTGGATAGGTGAACTCAACTCCGCTGGAAGTGTTGGGTTCACTTCTGAGAGAAACGTTTAACAAAATCTGTCGCATACATGGGTTGAAGCCACACAGTCTGTTTGCATGAGAGATTCGGGTATCCCCAAGGGAGATGATCATGAGAAACAGAGCCAAGCAAACAGGCTCTCCCATTAACAGACTGCCAGTCGCCACCCTCTCCTTTTAAGGCAGAAGTGATTGATTCTGAGTCCCACATAGATTCTGTCACCCCCTTAGTCTTCCAACTGAGCTCTAAAGAAATAGGAAAATTCCAGAAAGCAGGGAAAGAGTGATTACTCACTAAATCCTATTGAAGACAGAGAAGCCCCAAAAGAAAAAAGAATTCTGGCTTTGCTATCTTTTTTATTTGTTTATTTATTTATTTATTTCTATGCAATACCGTGAAGGTCACGCAGTCCACCTAGTTCACACAGCATAGCTTGGTTACTTACAGGTGGTGTGCATGGGTACATTCCATGGCCGGTCCCTGTCAATATCGGGAATAGTAAGCTCTTTAAGGGGGGCAATCCCCAGTAAGGCACCGAGACTTCAGTAGATGACCTGCCTCACTGACAGGGGGCTTTCAGAGTAGTGGACTCCCACTATGAACACATGGGCGTCACCTCTCCAGTCACAGCAAGGCCTCCCAAACATGGTCGTGTGTGACTTTAAGAAGAAAGGAAGATCCCACAATGCCTACCAAGGGTAAGAACCACAAAAATACATTTTGCCTTGAGATAATCTTACTGACAAGAATATTTTTTTTAGTTTACCCACAATGCTAGTACTCTTATTACATGCTTTTGACCAAGTAAATGTCATGGATGTAAGTCCCACTCTACTATCTTCAGGATTATAATAAAATTAAATCATTCAAAAATAAGATCTTGATCCTAATTTTCCATATTCTTTAACCCTCGCCTTCATATCAAAAGTAGCATTTACACCTCTACTGTCCCCTCTTTCCAATGATGTTCTCCATTGTTTAAATATGTATTTACTATACCGAGTATATTAGCAGTACACTGAAGAAGTCCCGAGACGTCTTCAATGTCCTCTTTGTCGGGATGATCTGCATAGGAGCATCTGTTAGAAATATTGTGGAAGTTTTTTTCTGCATCCCTGTAACTAAGAAGAGAACAAAATTAGCGCCTGGGAATTTTTTTAAGCATCTATGAATGCACACATATAAATACACACAAGCACACGTAATCCACACTGTCAGTGTAATCCCAGTCTAAAATAGCAAATGCGTTAAGTCATAATTTCTAGTGTAGCCCATAATTATTACTATTGGCAATGCAGACCTGGAACTGGAAGCAATAGTTAATAATAATAATAATAAAAATCATGTGCAAGGAAAACAAATGAAGAGAACCAAAGCAGACATTATTAACTAATATAACCCTACTTGAATGTTTTATGCCTGATGATAATATGTTTCTAAAAGGATGCTGCCTAGAAAGAGAAATTAACAGCTACATGGGCATTCAAGATGTCGAAAGCAAACTCTGTCATGGACTATCAGCTACATAAAATGATATGAATTAACAAATAAAATATTTTAGTGTCTGATGGAAATATATTTGAATCATATTCTTACCATTTTCTGTGAGACCCTGGAGAAATAACCTAGTCTCCGTTAGTGTAACATATCTCTCTCATAAAATAGATAGCGCCTAGCTTTCTCATAAGGACTGAGTCACATAATGCTACATAGCTGAATGTTGACCGTGACCTTTCCAGACCAGAGCTAAAGCACCCGGGCGGAAGACAACGGGGACCAAGTCCCTCACTGTTCTTGAAAAGTAGCCAAGAGGACCTGGCATCCCTTTGACACTTGCTGTCCAGTTGATTCCCCACCTTGGGAACCCCGTTTGGGTCAGAGTAGAAGTGTCCTCCATACGACTTTCCATAGCTAATTGTTTGAAAGTAGATGGCCGATCTTTCTTCTGAAGTACTTCTCGATGGATTCGAACCGCCCTCCACCAGGTTAGCAGCTTGAACATGTTAACCGTTTGTACCATTCAGACTCCTCTCAGAGCGAAGCCAAACCAACCAACAAAACAAACCCCACTCACTGCCGCTGAGTTGGTTCCAACTCATAGCAAGTCTGTAGAGGGTTTCCAGGACTGCACGGCTTCCCGGGAGCAGGGAGCCTCACTTGCTCCCACACACTGGCTGGTGGGTGAGCAGCAGCATGGCTCCTTCTTCAGCACTAGAGTGGACTAAATAGCTCCTCCCACCGTCATCACACCACTAGTGCAGAGAAGCAGAGGAATAGAAAACAATACCAAAAGGAAAAGCTTGAAAGAGTGAATTTGGCCTAGGAAGAGCGTCCTGCTTTACCTTTGCCCCGTCCCTGTGAGAAAAGAACAAGGTGGTAGACAAGGGTCCACCAATGGCAGAGACTGGAAGGATCGATACCTCGTTCCCCAGAGAACTGAGGCAGTGGGTTGTGTGGTCCTCTGTGTGCCTACTTGAGCAGAAAAAGGAAGCTAGAGAGAGAATTACTAACATGGTAAGGAAATGTGAACAACCTCCAATCACTCCACTTGGGAAGACACAAATAAGAGTTTCCAGACGGTCAAGGCGATGCCACTAAGAAGGGGGCATGATTGGTGCCATCCAGCAGCTTTACCAGTCACGAGGGGGTAGACTGAGGACCAGCAAGATGGCAAGTGCAGCACGGGGGCATCTGACATAGGCAAGGTACAGCTCAGACAGGCACCGCCGTGAGGGCTGTTTCAACCAGCAGTTATTGAAAAGAAGTGTCTGCCATTTTCTACTCCATTTCTGGCGGCTACCACACTCCAAGGAGCAAGGGCCCCAGAAAGAGGAACTCTGGAGACGAATGAAAAATTAGATCTTCTTCACGTTGCATACCAAGTTTCTCTTGCCAAGACTTCATCGAGAGAGAGAGAGAGAGAGAGAGAGAAGGCCATGAGTGACAGACGGAGCTTGAGATTGAAGATTTCAATCAGCCCAGAGTGGATTTGATAATCCCTGAAAGGACTTGGGAAACAGAGCAATCTGTTCATGCAGGTATCAAAGGGGATTTATATGAGCATGTTTGAAGTGAAAAGAAAACGATGTCATGTGTAGACACCTTACTGAGCTGAGACTCCAATAATCCAGTTAGACAAAAGGTGGTTACTACAGTTCCCAGGATACAGAAATAATTCAACAACAAAACAATAAAGAGAGCACATGTTAGGCCCAGACAAATACAGGGTTTAGTCAAGTTCTGTCATTCTAATCACGGCAACCGTGGGCAATTTTTTTCCACTCAGTATCAATTTTCCCACCTATAAAATGTGCTTAATACAATGATCCTAGAAAATGGATGATTAAGATGAAATGATGACAGATATGAAGTCGCCAGCTTATTTCCACAAACACAGTAAACAATCAATAGATTTTATTTTCATTCAATAAGATATATATTTATTCTTTGTGATAATATTTAAAAAGTGAAACTTCTTTTAGATGAAGTAATTTATAGCCACATGTCTTGGCCAAAGTACATCTTAAAGTTTATTTCCCAGAATAATCAGGCTTGACTTACTATTAATTTCACTTTGAGATAGTTTATTGTGCCAGCCTGGCTGATAAACACATGTGGGATTAACTGAAGGGCAGAGAAATAAATGGCTTGGTGAGCCTTGCCTTTCTTGTCTCTTGCTCTGTGATCATCGGACCAGTGTGCGGCTGCCTTGCTTGCTCTGTGCCTCAATTTAAAGGCTACACTACCTGTGGGACACCTAGCCTGTGGACTGTGTCGCTGTATGTTGAGGTCCCTTTAAGACATCTCTGGAGCTGGGGACTGGCGGTTGGTGACCTGCCTAGTGATTGGCTGCTGTGCTGACATAGCCTACCTCTCTCTACAAATAGAGGAAGATCTGGCAGCAGACTAGACTTGAAGGACTGCTAGTCTCTCAACTTTCTCTCACGGATGTTGAGTTGCACTGAGCCATTTGTAGTGCTTTATAATTTAACTGTTTACTTCTTGTATTATATATTTATCTGTATGTGACTTAATAGTTCATTTCTTGTTATATATCTAATTATCTTCATAAATAAATATATTAAATTATCAGCAATTTGGTTTTCTCTCTCTAGAGAACCCTGTCTAATACACACTTCTAATTTTCTATTGAAATCAGTATGGCTTAAACTTACTGCAAGTGTCAAAAAGAACAAGAAAAACAGAAGGTTGACTGTATGAAGCAAATCTTTGGCACCACTATGATAATAGGAGTAATCTCATTTCATTTTAGATGACTATAAGAAATGGATTTTCTTCCTCGCACCTTCCCCTTACCCTCCTGGTATGGCTACTCTCAACATTGGTCCTGAGGGGTTTATCCATTCTGGATTCCCTGTGTTTCCAGCTCTTTTCTGTACCCATGTGCATGCTCTGGTCTAGCCAGATTTGTAAGGTAGAATTGGGGCCAGGATAGTGGGAAGGAGGGGTGAGAAAGGGGTAACTGATCATAATGATCCACCTGTAAGTCCCTGCCAGGGAGATGGACAACAGAAAAGTGGGTGAAGGGAGACATCGGTCAGTGTAAGACATGAAAAATTAATAATAATTTATCAAGGGTTCATGAGGGAGGGAGGGTGGGGAAGGAGAAGAAAACATGAGCTGATATCAAGGGCTCAAGTAGAAAGAAAATGTTTCGAAAATGATGATGGCAACAAATGTACAAGTGTGCTTGACACAATGGATGTATATACGTGTAAGAGTTGTATGAGCCCCCAATAAAATGATTTTGAAAAGAAAGAAAGAAATCAGCTTCTGTTCCTGTACAGAGTTATATCTCGGAAACCCACAGGAGTAGTTCGATGCTGTCCTACAAAGTGGCTATGAGTCAGAATCAATTCAATGGCAATGAGTTTTGGGGTTTATAGGAAATTATGTCCCAGACTAATGTGAGATTGGTCAGAGTCCCGCCCATAATATTAACACAATGAGGATTATTCTAGCAAAAATGTAGAGTATGATGGAATGATTATGAATGCATGTTTCTTTATAGAGTAAGTCCCAGGCAATGGGCATCTGACTTAAAGATAACTCCTATTCACCCTTTAATCTTATGTAAGTTTACCCTCATTTTGAAAGAAGTGTGCTAACCCCTACTCACAAGAAATTTTTCATCACGCTCACCTTCATTTGCTGCATGTATGGCTCTTCAATCCTTTTTTAAGGGCTCAAGCCTTCTCTTACACTAAAATACACTTAAATATAAACAAATAATGAATAAAATAAAATAAAGCTAAATAAAAGCCATACACACCTGTGCCAATGTATCTACACACTTGACTTAAAGACACACTTAGGATTGAAACTCGTCCATAACCTGGGGACTGCCTTGCTTCGAATTTCAAAATACATCATGAATGAACACCGCAACTCAAAAAGATACATTTTCCGACGATAGTTTTAAAAAGCATATGCTATCTATAAATTTTTTTTTTTACTGAACTACAAAAGAACTCATTGCCTTAAGTTTTGTCTATGCAGCCATTAAAATTGCGTACATCAATAGGAGTCATATGGCATAAACATGACTGAGAAGAGTTGGATGAGGCATTGTTGAGAAGACAAGAGATGTGGGCTTAATTTTTTTCAGATCAAAAGGAACACTCTGGAATAAAGCTGTCGAGATAACACGGATTCGTCCTCGTGGCGTCGTGGTTCTGCACTGGGCTGCTAACCACAACGTCAGCAGTCTGAAACCACCAAACGCTCAGCGGGAGAAAGATGAGGTTTGCCACTCCTGCAGTGAACCCATGGGAACACTCCGACCCTGGTCTATAGGGTCACTATGAGTCGGCATCTATTCAATGGCAGTGAGGCAGTGACAACCGATTCCCCAAACTGCCCAAGGAGGCCAGGGAAAGAATACAGCATGAAGGGTAAAGGGGAAAATAATCCACAGAACTAAATGTGAGTCAGATTAACTAAAATTTTCCCATTGATGACCATTAGGTACCAGGAACTGTAGGTGTTCACTACTTATATCACAATAGGATTATTATCACTAATATTCCACTGAAATTTCACTCCAGCCCACCACTGTTCTAATTTTTTAATCATTTTATTAGGGGTTCATACAACTCAT